CTGTGAGGGTGGGGAGGGGCTGGGATGGATTTCCCAGAGAAGCTGGGGCTGCCCCTGGATCCCTGGGAGTGTCCAAGGCCAGGCTGGAACTTGGAGCAGCCTGGGCTGGTGGAAGGTGTCCCTGCCCGTGGCACAGGGGGTGGAACTGGATGAGTTTTCAGGTCCTTCCACCCCAAACCATTCTGTGATTCCATGAAAACAAGACAAACTGAGTTGTCTGAGCTTTGTGCTCAGCACAGAGATCAGACCTGTGGGGCTGGGCAGCAGGAGGATGGGAATGTTTGCACAGAGTGTCTGGGAGCTGCCAGCTGGGATCCCCTTCCTGCTCAGAATGGAAAGGTCTGTGTTCCCCTGCCCCCTCTCACGGCCTGTTGTGTTGCAGCACACACCAAGGACATGCCATTTACATGTGAAACCTGTGGAAAGTCCTTCAAGCGCAGCATGTCCCTCAAGGTCCATTCCCTGCAGCACTCGGGGGAGAAACCCTTCCGCTGTGAGGTGAGAGAGCTCCTGCTCAGGGTGCAGAGAGCAGGGCTTGGCAGTGCCAGGGGCAGTGCCAGGGGCAGTGCCAGGGGGGCTGAGTTCACCTAGAAATGAGGGGCAGGTTCATGAAAGTTTTGGGGAAGTTCTTCTCCCCGTGGGGAGCACGGTGGGAGCACCTGGGGGTGACCCAGAGCTGGGTGTGGTTGGCTGTGTTTTTAATCACACTGGGGCAGGATTTGAATCCCAGATTTCCCTTCATAGCAAAGCCTAATTCAAACTCCAGGAATCCTCTTACCCGGTAACCTGGAACAGATAGAAGTGGCCACAGTGGAAATAATCAAATTACTGCTTGATTTTCACGTGTGGGATAAATGATTGTGCTCCAAACAGTTCCTCCTGCAGATCTGAGCCACTGCTCTGAGTTTGGGTTCATTAATCAGTGTGTGTGTGGTGGGATGGGGCAGAGGATCTCCCTGCCACACTCCCAGGAGTTTGGGGTTGGGATTTCCTGCCTGCCTCGGGCAGGGGATGGCGTGGGACAGACTTGCAGTGGTGTGTGTGGAGCAGGGAACGCCTCAGTCACTGGTGGGGGTGTTTGGGGGGGTCACAGGATGGGGACAGAGGGGATGCAGAGCCCTTCCTGTTCCCACAGGGGACATGGAGTAGGAATGGTGGTAGAACAGCTCGGGGATAAGACTTGTAGGGAAATAAATCACCTCATAGCAATAAAAAGCAGCTGGGAAAGGCCCGTGTGGAACTGTGCTGTTTGGTGTGGAGCAGAGTCCTCTAGTGGCTGCAAACCCTCCCTGGGATGCCTGGAGCCACCAGCAGTGCTGGAATAACCCAGTCTCTGCCAGGACTGCAGTGCCAGCTGAACGTTCTGACCCTTCCAGAGCTCCTGTGCCAGCAGACCTTCAGCACAGCCCAAATCCTGCTCAGGAAATTCCCACTAAATAATTCGAATTCTGCAGTTTGTGTGTCCTGGCCCAGGTGTCCTTCACTCCTCCCCACAGTCCCCTGCAGTGTCTCCTGTGCCTGGATCCCACTGCTGCTGTTCTTTCTCTTGCAGAACTGTGATGAGAGGTTCCAGTACAAGTACCAGCTGCGCTCCCACATGAGCATCCACATTGGGCACAAGCAGTTCATGTGCCAGTGGTGTGGCAAAGACTTCAACATGAAGCAGTACTTTGATGAGCACATGAAAACACACACTGGTAAGAGCTTGTTGAAGGAGAAACCACAAGTACCTTGGCAGAACACTTCCCTTCCTTGGGATTTGGGGTTATCCGACTGGAAAATCAGACAGGAGAGGTTAATGCACCCCCTTAAAGGTGAAATCTGTAGGGCTGGGACTCACTGTGAGGAAAGGGAGAGGTCAGACCTGGGATTTTGGCCTGAAGGAGCCCCTTGCCAGTGCCCTTACAAAGGATTGTTTCAGGCATCAAAATCCCAAGGTGAGGGAGGAATTCCCACAGTCTGAGGAATTCCCACAGTCTGAGGAATTCCCAAAGTCTGAGGAATTCCCAAAGTCTGCAGCTCCTGTGGAGCATCTGCAGAAGTCAGAGAGGAATTCCCAAAGTCTGAGGCTTCTGTGGAGCCCCTTCATTTGCAGAAGTGAGGGGGGAATTCCCAAAGTGAGCAATTCCCACAGTCTGAGGAATTCCCACAATCTGAGAAATTCCCCCAGCCGCGGGCGGAGCAGCCCCGTTCAGTCAGTTTGTGGGGTGTGCAGTGATTTTGGGGGTGTGCAGTGATTCTGGGGGTGTTCAGGCTGGGTGTGCAGTGATTTTGGGGATGTCCAGGCTGGGTGTACAGTGATTTGGGGGTGTTCAGGGTGGGTGTGCAGTGATTTTGGGGGTGTGCAGTGATTTGGGGGTGTTCAGAGTGGGTTTGCAGTGACTCTGGGTGTGTCTAGGCCAGGTGTGCAGTGATTTTGGGGGGTGTGCAGTGATTTTGAGGGGTGTTCAGGGTGG